CGAATTGAGCCGAAGGGAAGCACCTTCCCTTCGATTCCTCCCCCGCCGGGGGGAGGGGGGAGTCCCGGGGGATCCCGGAAGGGGGTCCCAGGGGGGTTCCCGGGGGGTGTCCCCGGGGGGGGTCCCGGGGGGGGGTCAGATAAGACGCCCCCCCTGGGAGTCCCGGAGCCCAAAAAGCCCCAAGACGGGCCAAGAGTGCCCCAAGAGGCCCCAAAGAGAGTCCAAAAGAACCCCGAATCGCCGAACGATCTGACCAAGACGCCTTGACGGCCTCCAGACGGCCCAAGAGGCCTGCAAAGCGCCCCAAGAGGCCTCCAGGAGCTTTCCCACGAGAGCCCCAAGAGGCAAAATTCAAGGATTCCCTGTGCGTTTTTGAAAGATTTGGGCGTTCTTGCCTCTTCCGCTTCCCGACGCGCCAAGACGGCCCAAGAGGCCCCCAAGATCGCCCCGCGACGGCCCAAGAGGCCCCCAAGAGGGTCCCCTAACGGCCGAAGAGGGCCCCAAGACGGCCCAAAACGCCTCCAAGACGGCCCAAGAGGCCCCCAAGACGGCTCCGGGAGAGTGCCCAGACGGGGGACCCGAACGGACATGTCGAGGTCAGCCCCAGAGGCCCCGAAGAAGCCCCAAAAGGTCCCAAGAGGCTCCCAAGGGGCCCCAAAACTGCCCCAAGACAGCCCAGGAGAGCCCCAAATTGCCCAGGAGGCCTCCTAGAGTGCCTCGAGACGGCGCAAGAGGAGCCCTGGACGGTCCAAGACGGCCTCAAGAGAGCCCCAGGCTGTCCCAAGAAAGCCTCTGGCCTCCTCCTCTTCTTCCTCCTCCTCCTCCTCCTCCTCCTCCTCCTCCTCCTCCTCCTCCTCCTACCCCCCCCCCCCTCTGCTCCCTCTCCTCCTGCTCTCCTCTGCCTCCTTCTCCTCTTGCTTCTCCTCCACATCCTTCTCTCCCCTCCTCCTCCCTCATCCAGCTCCTCCACCCTTCCACCACCTCCCACTCATCTTCCTCCCCCTGCCCCTGCCCATGCCCCCCACCCCCTCGTTTTCATATTCGTCGTTCTCACGGTCGGCGGCACCGGCCGTAAGGCCTTCGCAAAATGAATACGAATCATCGTATTGATATATTAGGTATATTTCTGTTGCTTGCAAAATATGAGTATGCTTAGGGGTATGCCTCCTCCTCCTGCTAAACATCCGTCTCTTCCTCCTCTTCCTCCTCCTGCACGACGCGCGCTAATGGCAACGATGTCGGTACTGAACTTGCCTCCCTTCCTCCTCATCCTTTCCTCTTCCACATCCTTCTCCTCCGCCTCATCCTCTTCTTCCTCCGTATCCTCCTTCCGCCTTCTCGTTCTCCTGCACGCTGAACGCTGATGGCATCGATGTCGGTAAAGGCGATCTCTGCCGTCCTCCTTATCATCCACCTCCTCCCTCCCCCTTTTCCTCCTCCTCCTCCTCCTCCTCCTCCTCCTCCTCCTCCTCCTCCTCCCTCCTCCTCCTCTTCCTCCTCCCTCCTGTTCTTCCTCCTCTTCCGCCTCCTCCTCCTCCTCCGCCTCCTCCTCCTCATCCTCCTCATCATCATCCTCCTCATGAATTGCCTCCTCCTCATCATCCTCCCCTTCATCTTCCTCCTTCTCCTCCTCTGTAATCCTCCTCCTGCACGCTGCACGCTGGTGGCATCGATGTCGGTAGTGGCGTTGCCACCCCTCCTCCTCATCCTCATCCTGCTCCTCCTCCTCCTCATCATCATCATGAACAGCAGGATCATAACTACCAGCATCAGCATCATCATCATCGTCATCACCAACATTACCAACCTCATCATCATCCTCATCCTCATCATCATCAGCAGCATCAGCATCATCATTATCATCAGCATCATCACCATCACCATCACCATCATCATCATGTTGAATCACCATCTTCATCATCATCAGCACCAGCATCATCATCATCATCATCATCATCATCATCATCATCATCATCATCATCATCGGCGGCGGCGGCGGCGGCGGCAGCGGCGTCGGCGTCGGCGTCGTCGTCGTCATCGCCATCGCCATCATCTTCAATATCAGCAGCATCATCAGCATCATCGGCATAATCAGCATCATCATCATCAATATCATCAGCCTTGTCATCATCAACATCAACATCGTTATCCTCATCACCGTCATCACCACCACCACCAGCATCATCATTCTCATCAGCATCATGCATCATCAACAGCAACACTAGCAACAACATCAGCGACAATATCAACAGGAACAACAACAAAACAACAACAAGGCGAAACAACCAGCTGGTGGATCCGGTGAGGGTCCACCAGCTCGCTGCTTCGCTCCTTGTGGCGAAACATCTCACTGATGGACCCGGACCCCCCCCCGGCAACGCAACGCAACGCAACGCAACATCCTCTGGAATCCTTCCGGATCCTTAAGAAAGCCGACGCATTACCACGAGCTGAAAACATGTGCGCTCCCCCGAGCCGAAGCCTTCGGGCATGCTATAGA